GAGGGCAACATAGTGAGACTCTATCTCAAAAAATAAATAAATAAATAAAAACCCAAAGGTGAAAGCGAGTAGCCCAGCCCAGGGTTCCCTAAGAGGCAACAGTGAAGGGCTTGAGGAGTGCATAGGTGCTCTCTGTTATGGATAAAATACATCTTCCCAAATTTATATGTTGAAGGCCTAATACCCAATATGATGATATTAGAAGCAGGCCCTTTGGGAGGTAATTAGGGTTAGATGAGGTCATAAGGGTGCAGCTCGCACGATGGGATAGTGCCCTTATAAGTAGAGGCAGAGACACCAGAGCTCCCTCCCCCATAGGAGGACACGGGAAAAGGCAGTCATTTATAGGTCAGGAGGAAGCTGGATGCACATGGTCCCTGCTCACACTGGGAGAGCTTACACATAGCCCACAAATGGATGTAAGCAAACAACTTCTCTGAAGGGAAGGTACCAATCTTGGAGGTAAGATAGCAAGAAAAACTGACCGAGGTCTGGGAGAGCAGGGAGGGTTCCCTGAGGAAGTGCTCCTGGAGCTGATAACTCAGGGTAAGTGAACTGGTGAAGAAGGGAGTGGGGGGGACACATTCCAGGCAGAGGAAACATTTCATGCCCAGGTCCTGTAGAAGCAAGGCTGGCACAAAGAGTTGAGAGGTGGGAGGAGCTCAGGAGCAGGTGGGAGGGTGGACAAGAGGAGCCCCAGAGCGGAGCAGGGCAACCGACACAGATCCCAGACACTGCAGTGAGGGACATTCTTCACACTAGGAGCAATAGGAGAAGCCACTGAAGAAATACAACAAAGGGTGGCACGGTCAGGTTTGCATTTCGCAAAGATCCCCGTGGCTTCAGCATGGAGGGGACAGGTGCACAAGTAGGGAGCTGTGTTAGGAAGCTGAGGCAGGATCCCACAAGAGACAGAGGAGGCAACAATGAGAAGAATCCAGGTGCACATGGCATTCAAGAAGTCAACTGAGAGGACTTAGAGACAGATAAGAGATATAAAGTAAGGAGGAGGGAGAGGGAGGCCAACAGAACAGAAGAGAGAAAATAATGACAAGGTTATAATACGGAAGGGAGCAAGAGTGAGCCACAAAGATCTGGTATGCTCAGCAATTTGAACCTTATCCTCTCAGTAGACAAGTCACTAAGGAGAAGGGATGGAGTTTACCAGGGAAATAGTACAAAATTCTCTGTGAGGGGCCAGTGTGGTGACTCACACCTGTTATCTCGGCATTTGGGGAGAGTGAGTTGAGATGATATTTTGAAGCCAGGCGTTTGACACCAGGATGGGCAACATAATGAGACCCTATTTCTACAAAAAAATTTGAAATTAAGGGCTGGGCATGGTGGCGAATGCCTGTAATCCCAGTAGTCTCGACGGCCATGGCGGAGTGGATTGCTTAAGCTCAGGATTTCGAGACCAGCCCAAGCAAGAGTGCAATCTCATCTCTACTAAAAATAGAACTAGGCAGGTGTTGTGGCTGGTGCCTGTAGTCTCAGCTACTCAGGAGGCTGAGGCAAAAGGATCTCTTGAGCCCAGGAGTTTGCGGTTGCTATAGGCCGTGATGCTACGGTACTCTCATCGTTCTTGTCATACTTGAAGTTTGTTTTCACTCATGGGTCACCTTTGAAAAATTCAGCTGTCTACCCATGGCACAGAGTGAGGCTCTGTCTCAAAATAAATAAATAAATAATCAAAAATGAGCCCAGAGTGGTGGTGAAAGAGGATACCCAGAAAAACTGAGGTCTAAGAGAACAGAGGTCTTCTCAAGGAGACCCCAAGGATACACCCGCCAAGGTCCTCCGCATGGTGACTTGGCTCTTAGGAATTTGTAGAAACTTAACTTCCTGAGACCTGGAAACTAATGCTTGCTTCCGCTTCTGTAAAAGCTTGGTTTTGTAAAAGCCCAAGTCCACTCCTCCAGTTTGACTCAAGTTTGATTCAAACTTGACCCTTGGGCTGGAACTTTTTGACTAGAGATAAAAAGAATACTGAGCTAGTCAGGGAGCACAACCATTTTGGACTGTGGTCTGCTGCCACTCTGCTGGCTGGAATAAAGCCCTTCCTCTCTTAAACACAGTGTTTGGGTGTTCTTTCTCTCCACTGGGCCTCATCTTCCTGCAACAGTGGCAAGCCCCTATAGTTTCAGCTACTTTAGGAGGCTAAGGCAGCGGTTCTCAACCTGTGGGTTGCGACCCCTTTGTAACAATGAAAATACATTCTGCATATCAGATATTTACATTATGATTCATAACAGTGGCAAAATTACAGTTATGAAGTAGCAATGAAAATAATGTTATGGTTGGGGGTCACCACAACATAAAGAACTGTATTAAAGGGTCACGGCATTAGGAAGGTTGAGAACCCCTGGGCTAAGGTGAGAGGATTGCTTGAGCCCAGGAGTTTGAGTGACATATGATCCAGCCACTGCACTCCAGTCTGGGAGACAAAGCAAGACGGTCTCAAAAAAAAAAAAGAAGGAAGGAAGGGGAAAAAAGAATTCTATGATGGACTTGGAATCAGACAGAGATGAATTAGATCGTCTATCTTCCTTGTTGTTCCCAGGACAAAAAACGTAATGTCTCTGAGCCTCAGTCTGTCCACTTGTAAAATAAGATAATCACAGTAGGTTGGATCTTATGAAATTCTAATTCTATGAGTCAAAATCAGTGGAAATTCAGCAACTTCATACAGTTCAGTATAATATATCCTTCCTAGCAACTGATTACATACGATGATTTTGTAAGTGTATCCATTACCCTCATCTCCAATCTTCACCTTCATCTCACTCAGGGTCACCCTGGTGTGTACAGCTCAGCTGACTGAAGCAAGCTGAGGTCTCATTCACCTGGTTCCTCCCCAGGGCAAGTGACTCTTTCAGAACTCAGCTTTGAGGCTCAGTGGCATTTCTTCCCGAACCTTGGCCGACTTTTGGAGGAAAGCATTCCAGCTATCCTGTTACTCATCCCTTTCAGAACACTCATGAAGTCCAACCCTGGAATTACACCCGCCTGCAGGGCCTTGCAAGGGCCCCTGCCAGGGAAGGCCTAGGAGGAGCCCAAGAGAGTTATAGGTATGCAGGTACAGGTATCCATCCCTCATACTCCATGAATGCCTCTGGGATACTAGCCAAGTCACTCTGTCTCTGAGAGCCTCACTTTATTCATTTGTAAATCACTAGAGTATGAGTCAGCAAACTCTTTCTATAAAGGGCCAGACAGTAGATATTTGAGATTTTGCAGACACATGACCTCTATTGCAATGATGCATCTTGGATATTGTGATGCAAAAGCAGCCAATAGATAAGCAAAGAGTGAATAAGAGGGTCAAAGTGTGACACAAAAGCAGCCATAGATAAGCAGAGAGTGGATAAGAAGGTCAACATAAGAGCAGAACAACAGGAGCCCATCACAGCTTTGGGGGGCATGAAAATATTTCAATTTTAATTTTTTTCATGATCTGAAGGATAAGAAAACTATAATTACGAATAAATAAGTTTTCATTTGTCATGATGTAATAGTCTTCTTTTGATTTTTTTTCCAACTTTTAAAAAATGTATTAGCTATACTTAGCACACAAGCCATACAAAAACAGGCACCAGGCTACACACCCCAGCACTGGACAATGTCTAAGCCTTTCTGACTCTTGGTCAGATCAAGTGAAATCTGGAATTAAGTGGAAATGTCCAGGCTTTAATGAAGAATGGTTAAGCCACACCCTATAGCTACTGTTTACACCTTGACCCTACAGTGAACATACTGAGGTGATACGACACAGAAACAAAGATACACGAGTCTAGCAAAACTCAATCGGCTTTGGATATGGCAAGGGTTTAGCTCAGACCACAGGAAGCCCATGGGCATAAATAAGTCCTCTGGGATAATCAAAGCACAGGAAAGAAATGCTGAGTTTTTCCTTATGACAACCAATTCTGGCACCAACTGGATATCTTATAATTCATTTCAACTCTTAACACTAAG